TATGTTCCCATTTTTTCATGCTAGCTTCCAGTAAATGTGTTTGTTTTTGATTTGCATCTTTTATTTGCAAAAAATTAATTTATAGCATTTTAAATGAAAACTAAATGGAAGGCAAATGATTTAGAACGAATTTGGAAGTTTACAAAAAACCTCGTTATGATTTGCTGTTTCAGGGAAAATGTAAAAGGAGCAACGGAAAAGTTTCTACTAATGGTATAATTATCCTGGTTTCAGTACCCAAAATAGACGTTTTTAACATGAACTGCTTCTAAACCGAAAGTTTTTTGAAATCAACTTTTCCCTGCGTTATTTTTTGTGAGGCAATAATTCGGAGCAGGGGAAAATAGGTAACAAGTGACTCCGAATACAGATTCACGCGCAGTGTTCTTCTAATGCCCTGAGCGCAGCGGAGAGAAATGGAGCAAGCATATGATGATTACAAATTCCTTGTTACAATTTGTCGTCTGTTATGAGTTGTCGCTTCACTCATTATTTGACCTTCACCTACTTTGCTTTCTGTGAAATAATTTACAATATATTTTCAATTTTTTGAATTCCCAGTTGTGAGAGCTGATAAACTTTTTCTATCCTTTAGATGCGAGGGGTTCACTCGTTTATCACACGTAACAGCAATTAATTTGCAAGGAAAGCAGACATCATGATTTTTGAAATCACATTAGAACTTGTTTATGATCCGGCACTTCCAAACAGTGAGAAAGAACTAAAGCTTAGATGGCGTATTCGCGATAGTTTCGATGGTTTCAATTTCAAGCCCGCTTATTTTAATTTGGATTTCAGAAAAAAACTTCGACACACATGCAAAACAGAGTTTCGCAACACTTGTGATACCACACACTCATTTGAAAAGCAAATTTGATAAGGTAATTTTCTTCAAAAATCAAAAAGGTTGTCAAACACGGTCAACATTAAAAAAACTTGTTTTTCCGAAATCAGTAACTTTTTAGTGCTTAAAGCAGGTCGTGGCCGGTGAAGTAGAGAAGATTCCCAAAATCGGATTTCTCGATTGAAAACTTAACATGAGAATTGGCTCGGTAATTTTCGAGCAGAGTAAAAAAAAAACTTTGAAAAGCGGTCAAGTTTCAAAGCTTTCACTTGTATGAAGGTCATAAGTTTTTCCCAACAAACTGAGTGTATCAAATTATAAAACTAAGCTTCCAACAACTTGTTGTGTAAATTATATAAAGGATATCAAATCTGACAGAATAGTTATTAAAAAATGATTAAAAAACTCCAAAAATGGTTAACACATCATATAGTTGACATTTCCGACAAACATGCAGAAGAAATTAAGCCAACCCTTCAGTTTCTATTCAACCCAAAAAATCAGGCTTGAATTCAAACTTTGATTTTTTTGACGGCCATAACTTTGTGCATCACCCTTTTTTAGGGTTGAACACAAAATTTCAGACATGGAAAGTTTTTTGGAAAATACGAGAAATTTAGAAAAAAAAATGCTCAAATAAGTCAAAAAATTCCTTTTTCCGAGAATGATAACTTTTAGTGTATGTTGCTATAGCAGGGGAGCTTCCCACGACCCGATATCTCCATTGAACTCACAACCTCAGTTTTTTGTGAAAAGTTGAAAAAGGTTCAATAAACGGTAAAAAAAAATCAAAAGTTTGACTTTTTCGAGGGCCATATTTTTGTGTGTAGACAAAAATTGGGCATGGCCGCTTATGAAAAAGAACTTTTTTCATTGAAACAAAAAAAGTCAGATTTGATATATTAGTTTTTGAAAGAACGGAACAAAATCAAAAATATTGGTCAATTATTGCCTTTGTGAAGACTGAAGAAAAGGGATAAAGCAGTAAAGCAAAAAGAGACTAGCGGAGTATGCAGGCACATAAAACTGTAAACGATTTTTCTTTTAAATCTTTTTTAAAAATCGGTTCAAGGGCTTTTGAGGAAAAAAATTGCAAAATGTGATAAAAATTTCCAGAGCGTCTCAAAAAATAAAACAAAAACCCAATCCCATGCACTTTCATAACACTTGTTTTTTTTTCAAACAGGAATTCTAGGCAAATATGCCAAGCAAGACATTTGAAATTCAAATGTGCCACTGAACAGAACTTACGAAGCAAAAACAAAACTGACAGACAAGCAGACACCAGTTGAGACGAAAAAAACTGACTTTGAAAAAAAAATTGAAAAAGTTTCAAGTCCCCTATAACCTTAAAACTACCCTGTAGTGACTAGTGCCCACCCAGTAGTTAAATTTGAACTTTAATGAAATTGAGTTTGTCAGCTGCATAGTGATTTAATTTATTTGAGTTAAACTAGTTGTTAACCCAAAAAAGTCTATATTCCGATTTAATAACGCTTGCTAATCACAAGCGTATAAAAGATATCTTCGAGTAAAAAGAACTGCTCTAAATGTATCAATTTTTCATAAAAATTTTCAATGAAACAGAAGAGTTTTCAACAGCGGGGTAAGGTCGACTAAATCTGTGACTCAATCGATTTTTTGATTGATTTCTTTCACTTCAAAAGTCAAAACCGGTATCACCCCTCTATTGCTATCCAAAACAACGGCAGAAAATTTTTGAATGTCAACTAATGTAGTCGAAGCATTCTCTGCTATTTTGGCAGCAACCTGTTACTCTTGTTGTAAGTCAGTCAATTCATATTCTATCGAATTGGACCCTTTATTGTTTCTATAGATTTGTTGAGGCCGCAAAGTATGAGTAGGGTTATGTTTCTAAATTAGTCACGATTAAGAAGTCACGCGAGTGTTTACAGGTGAAAAAAGCAAAGAAAGCAGACGGTCTTTCTACGAACATAAACTGTTCTAGTAAGACCTTGTCATATTCTTTCGACATATCAACTTATGTCAGCACAAAGAATCTCTTCCCCTATTTTTACCGAACAAAACACGGCAAAAAAGAGCGGGGAAGAATTTAAATAATTCATGGCCAACTTTGAATATTTTCTGGCATTGGTTTCCATACTATGCACAATGGAATCTTATGTAAACACTTTCTCATCAATTCGCACTTTATGAACTTCACCGATATTAGCCGGGAATAGGTAATCAGAAATCATACAGGTATGGAAAGAGTGTCAGAGTGAATTGAGCCCCCCCCCCCTTATAGAACCTGTATCGTCTCAACAGAGCAGTGGCAATGGCTTATAAGGCAACAAGTAATTATGTTAATTTTATGCGTACAGTGAAAAGACCTTTTATGACCAATTTTGATTAAAGAGTTTGGTTTGATGGTACGTCACTAGTTAGAGAGGGTTAGAAATAAATAGGGTTTATTGGAACTTAAGTGACATTTGGGCAGATGAGTCTTTTTTGATTTAACTGATTAGCTCGTGACATTTTTTACATCTACATTTTCTGTTCCATTTATACTGTATATTTTACTCTCGACCAGTAATTCCGTTTCTATACATCACCCGGTTCTGGTATATTCGGCAGATTCATCAATCAATGTAAAATGACACTTTTAGCGGCACTAATTTTTATTTATGAGGCTTGACACAGTAAAACCTTGACTTCCCGATTTTTCCAATTTTTTCAGACTTTTAAGCATGAAGTTGATGCAAAACAAAGTGCGTTAACTTTTGTTGTACCTATTGCATTTGTATGTAAGTATCGTTTTTCCGCTATTTAGCAGGTAATCATGTTTTACGTTTTGGCAATATGATATGTAAAAATTCGAATTTCATTTCTAACCAAGCAGCTGATTGGTGAACAACTGCAGTACCAATATGACAGAATACAAATTATTCTATTGTTGCATCTTCTCATATCATTTTTCCCCCTAAGGCATGTTTCAAACGATCTTTTCGAGTTCATTTTTAAATATTCGGCAATTGTTCTAAATAGAATTATCATCTACTTCCATGGTTCATAATTAATTCACATTTTCTTGTTTTTAATCCCTCCCACTTTATTCATTTATCACGTGGATTTCATGCTGATATTTGTTTCATTCTTCAAGTTTTTTTTCTAATTTTGAGATGAAAAAGGAATAAAAGTAACGCAAAGCTCTATTCAATACTAATACTTAAAGCTGAAAAAAATGGAAACCAATGTCCCAACTAATTGGTAGTAACAATATCTAAGTTGAGTTTGAGCCTGCGGGCTTTAGTAATTCAAAAGAAGTGGTTATCTGAAAACGCGTGAATATTATCAAAGAAAAGTTCTATAAATCTGCATATCTTTCCGATAACTGGTGACGTCAGAGAACTTATTTGAAGCTCACCGGACTAACAACTTACTTGCACGGTGTTCCAAAAAGGCTTCCATGTAAACGATTGTAGATTTCAGGGTGAAAGATGTTCTCCGTTGACTGCATTATGGTAGAAAATGTTGGTTTTAGTTTGGCCCAGAAAATGAATAAAACGATTTTTATGTGTTAACACAAATCTTAGTTCCGGAAGAAGAAAAGGTTGCAAAAGTAGGCCATTGTGCAATCCTCAACCCCCATTTTTTGAAAATTTCTATCAAGCCAGACAGAATTAAAGGTCTTCCGATTCTAAGAAAGTGTTAGATGCACATGGCATCTTTCATTCAAGCGCTGCCATAATATTCCCTTTGAATGGATTAAAGCGTCACCTCTTAGAGAATCGATTCATTAACAAAATACCAATTAGAACGAGAAAAACGAAAGTTTTTCACGCTCTTATTCATAAAATTGACCTCTCATGGACTGAAAAATAACACTGTAACTTGCAGAGTTAGTTGAAAAATATGTGGTGAAACATAGGGCAGGAGGACAATTTGCAACATGCGACAATTCGTAACGCGACGATTCGTAAAAAGTGACAATACGCTTGCTCCGCTGCACCTACATCCGGCACGAGAAAAATACTGCGCGTTAATCAGTGACCCTGCTTAATCTACTGTTACGAGTGGACGCCTCACGAAAAAAATAGAATGTTCTTGTCTTCTCTTAGTTTCTTCAACTCTGATACAGACAAAAACAGGAATCAAATGTGCTATGTATCTTAAAGTAGAATTCTGCGTTTAGATGATGTTATCAATGAAGGAAAAGTTGGACCAATTAATCGAGCATCATGGCATAGAGACAGTGCAAACTTCAGGTGCTAACATTACAAATTCCCCGAATAACCAGCCAACCTTAAGCCCCCAAATTCAAACTCAAACTGAGACCAAACTGTTAACGCCGAGCCAAACCTGCATAACTGAAGAAACAGAAGAAATCAGTGAACCCACAGGAAAAGAAAACACCATAAGCCAAACGGAGTCGGAAGCAGACATCGACACAAATGTCCATAAATCAGATTTGACAAGCAATGGTGACTTGGGGAATTTCGACTCCGACAAAGGAAACAACCGCTTGCCAAGCAAAAGAAATCCACCGGCCTCGAGTTCTGACTCGCTGGACGATTTAAGTTTATATTGCGATCTGGAGTTGGAATCTAACAAGAGCAAGGTGGTGCACTGTGCCAGCTGTAGTTGCCACAGCCGCAAGCAATCCCCCAAACTGAGCTTCCACTATCTGGACAAAGACACTGCATCCACTTGCATCAATTTGTCCTCCAATGGGCTGAAGAGTCATGACAACGAAACTGCAGTTTGATAAAAAAAATTGTTGAGTTAAATTCAAAATATTTTTATGTCACAGAATTTAAAGTTTAGAAAACATAAATTTGCCCTTTTTCGTCGAAACCAATTATTTTGGAAACAACGAATTTTCAATTTTTTAAGAGCAAATTGTTCTTAAAATCCAGAACAACTAGCTATATTTGCTTGTTGCAGAATCCGCAACAAAACAAATGTGCCGACAAAATTTACGTTACAGGTATTTGTACGCGGAATCCACGGAACTTTTGTAAGTGGAATCCAATTTCGTTTTGGAACAAGTTTAACGATTTGTCTCTGGAATCCAAGAAAATTGACACAAAATTGTGCGCCTATCTAGTGTACAGTTTGGCCTCGTAATGACGTGATAACAAAATTGCTTGCCATTCAGTTTAAATGCCATAACTCGTGTGTTGTATACATATGAAAAATTGCATGAAATTTGCATGACAAATAGTATTCCATGCAATAGAACTGTTTGACTCGCATCCTTCCCCAAAATAAGAAATATTTTTTTAGAGCGGATGCAGGAATTATTATCATCCAGTCAAATTTGATATATGTTGGTTCTGTAGTTTATGAGAAAATGAAAATAATCCAAAAAAATTGATCATGAATTCCCACTTAAGTGATAAAAAGTAAAAGGTGAAGTGAAAAAACACTAGCGGAATATCCAATTTCTTGTGAAGCGGTCCCTTTGACTAACAATACCTGAGAAAATTTTTTTTTTCAAAAATTGCATGCAAAAATTTGTATAAACGTCTCAAAAATCTTTAAAAAAAACCAGATCCCAAACTTAAAACAAAACAGACCACAAACAAAAAGCAAATGCCAGATCTTTGGAAAGAAAGAGGGTACCGTATTATTACAATAAGCTGAGTTTGCGTGAAAATCAAAATTTTCACGACCAATTCCTTTTGAAACAAGTAAATACAATTGAAAAACTCGCATTTGAAAGTGCGCAACACAAGTTGACAAAACTAATATAGTATAAGTTGAACCCGTTTAACCAAAAAAAGTAAGAATCAAAGTTGGTAAATTTGCAAACTACAGAACAAATTTTAATTATAATAAAAAAATGTTTCAGCCAAAAACTTAAAAAGCAAAGTATCGAAAAAGAGCCAATTGACAATCAAACTAGATAAAACCTGTTGCATTTTTAAAAAAAAATTTGAAAAACAGCAGATACAAAATATAAATGCTGCAGACATTTTTTCTATCAATATATTACAAAAAATTGAGTATCACGTCAAATGAACAAGAACTTAGTTTGATTGAAAATTCAAGAAATTGCGTCTGTCAGCAGAATTGATTACTTCAGCAAATTTTTTCTTTTTTTATCAAGCCGACTTAGTTTTGAAATAACTAACAATATTTTTTTCTTAATAGTTTTTATTTGTTAAGTTTTTGAGTCGCTGATGCGCCCTTGTATTGTATCTATCCCTCTGAAACTGCTTTGTGGTTATGCAGATTTTGAATATATTCAGTCAAATTGAACAGAAAAACGCGAGGCAAGTTGGAAAACGACAAAAAAACTACGAAAAAAAAAGAAAACGAATTTTTCATTTTTTAGAAAAAAAAACCAGCAGGTGTCGAGGAACACAAACATCAGCATCAAATAAACTTTCTTTCGTTCAAACAAAATTTACAAAATGGCAAACGGAACAGTTGTCATAAAAAAATTTAGAGTTGTTTTATTCCAAAATGTGAAACTTTTATACCTCATCCCCAAAGGGAACAAATAAACTTGCAGAAAACTCAACTTTTCCTATAAAAAACACAAGACCCGACCCGGATCTGAAGTTCAGGCAATAAAGTGTAAACTCTAATAGTAGTAATAAAAAGGCCCCTGGAGGTTGTTTAGTTTTAGTAATAAAGCAGTTTTAAGACAAGTAATTTACGGGGAAAAGTCTAGTGTCCGAAAACACTTCACTGGCTCTCAAGCATGAAAACAAACATTCAATGAAATGAAAACTAACTGAAATTCGAGAAAAACTTTTCAATTGGCGATCCTTAGATATGAGAAGCTCAATTTGCGATAACTAGATCAAAAGGTAAGATTTGGTTTTGCATTATAATTTCAATTTTTAAATCTGTTTTTTAAACTTTTTTGCGCCATTTGCATGTATCTTAGAAAAATCCAAAATGTGCATTTTTTTGTTGCCAAATAATTGTAATGGATGAAAACAAAACATGCAAACTTCAAGTCACAAAAAATGAGCATGATAAAAACCTTACGACTTTGCATAAAAAATGCAAAATGAAAAATATTTTCTGTAAAAATAGTTGTTCTGCCGTCCTCAAAAAATTCAGGGGCGGATTTAAGTATTCGACTCCTTCACCAACCATAGGTTGCCCTTCTGTTATTAGTTTATGACATCCATTCATTTCCGTCCAAACAACTCTTAAAATTGGTGTATATCTATTCTAATTTTGGTTGGGAGCGAGTGCCAAAATAAGGCCCAAAATTTTTTAAATCTGCCTGCGGTGCAACAAGTTTTGGCAAAATATGGTATTCAATTGAGTTACGGAATCAATTTGGTCGCCTTAAAAAATCTTTAAATTTTATTTAAATGTCTCATTTTTGATTCCGTTCAGAATAAAAAAAATGTATGGCTACTCTGAAAGTTCTAATCAACCAAATTGAACTTTAATTTTTAAATTGACCCTTTGAATTGATTTCCAGCATGCAGAAACTCTTGAACGCATTTCAACTTACATCCCAATTCATACGAGATTCACACATTCGAGAACTCTAAAGATCCGAATAAAAACCCCGGGTTGACCAATACTTCTTATCATACTATTTCCATTATGTAAAATTTCTTGTCCTTTAATTTTATACAAGCCCATACGTACAAAAAAATTGTATGAAATCTCTATTATAAGCATTTTACCGTATATAAAAATTGTTTGATAGGTGTTTTTCCATAAACCATCTTTTTTTTTTCTTAACTTAATTCCAGAAAACTTTGGCTAGTGTTTGTAACCGAACGCAAGTGACAAAGATCTTGGTTTACTCAAAGCACCAAAGCTTGAACTCTCTTGCATTTATAATGCATAGAAAACAATCTGATTTCTCTTAGAGCTGTCTTTCACAAATCATATAACGAAAGTATCACACTTTTAAATTTTGGCAAAATTTTTCAACGATGATTAAAGGTTGTTAGCGAAATCTCCGAAAGACGACAAATAAAAATCAATTCTATAACAAAATAATAAATACGCTCATTTTTCGTTTTTACTCCCTTTTTGTTTCGATTTTGTATAGGGTAGTTTAAAACTAATTGCTAAGATTGTATGATTTGCGTTTATAGTTTTAACCTCATTATCAAATGACTTAAATTTCTGAGATGGTTTTAACCTTGCGACAGTGAAATGACCTTGAAAAGGATATCCAGTTTTTAAAATTGCGTCTGAAGTGTTAAAAAGCTATGCAAAATGTTCGAAGTCCACAACTTCGAAACAAGTTTGATTCAACAACCATCTGCAATGAAATTTTCAGAACAAAAGAAAACATGAAATGACAAAAAAGCAAACTCTAAACTTCAACCAATTATTTTGTATCAGTTTAGCTGGAAGCTTGAAAATAATTTATGACGTTGCCCAAGAAAGCTTTTAAAAAAATCTATTGGAGGTCCTAAATAATTCTGACATTCAAGCTGAAATTTGTTAGAAAATATTTTTTGAAGTTTAGTTCGCGTTTGCATTTTTGCCGGCCTTAATGTTTTTATTTTAAAAATTACATGTAAAAATGCTGCTGTCTGAAAAAAAATTCTTGAAAATAGGCAATAATTAAATTCTCCAAAAAAGCGCAATCGTTTTGCATTGCTCCTTGGACAGTCAAAGCAGTTTTGAAATTCGGTTGCAGTTTGAACCATTCGCGGTCTCAAGATCAGAATTATTTCAAAAATTTAAGACATCTTCCGATAAATTTGTTGCAACCTATAGTTAATGCCAACTTTTTGGCAATATCGGATACCTTAATCAATTATATTGGTCAAAAACTATAGATTTTTTGGTTAATGAGTTTTTTGTACCCGGCCTATACTTGTAGAAATTGGCGAAATATTAACAATTTGATGTCAAAATGAGCCGTTATAGGTTGATTAATTTTGTTTAGTTTCGTTGAACGAAAAAAATATTGCCAACAGTTTGGTATTAGTTATATGAAACTTATATAGCTTTTAACAAATTTAACAAAACGTCTAAAATTTCTGAAGTATTTCTGAGATTGGGAATGTGAAAAAGAGTTTGAAATATAATTAATAGCAAAAATTTGAGCATGCAGATATAATTAAAATGAGCAATCTGGTAATTTTGAGCAGTGTTGCATGCAATTTTGCATTTTTAGGTAACGTTGAGTCATATTTTATGTATGAAAAATTAGCTTTAGCATGCAAAAGTTTTTTGAAGTAGGTCATTTTCTCTCTTTAATTAATTTTGTTCTAATTTTTTGCAACTCTCAATACAACTGAATTTTCAAAATTGCGTTTGAACTATCAAAAGAGCAAACCAAAATAACTACGGTTTTTCAGAGATCAGTTTTTTTTTGAATGAGTTCAAGCCCCAAACTTCAAAAATTTCATTCAGCAGCAACCTCAAATGCAGTTTTTTAATGGAAAAAACTCATAAGCCAGTTTCTCAGACAGAAAATATGTTTCAAGGTCAACTAAAGTTTCAAATTTGCATACAAAAATTTCTTAAATTTGGCAGATAGCTCTTTTTAATTAATTTTGTCTGTTGCAATTTTTTGCTACTAATTATTTCAACTTCTTATAGAGAGCTGCAAAAAAATTGGACAGTAAAGTTATTTTTTTTGTCCAAAATTTAACACTGCAAAACAAGCACTCCACAATGACATGCCATGAAAATTTCTAGGACCAAAAGGAACGGTGGAAAGACAATCTATTTTATTCCAATCTACCCCTTGCCATTCAACACGATGCCCTTCTACCCTAAAAACTAATCTCCCTAATGCCTATCTACCATAAGCCAATCTACCCCACTCCTCAAATATTTCGTGATTTTGATATAGGCAACATAAATATTCTATTTGGGATAAAATTTAGTCCAGATTGGCAATTTTGAACCCGCATTACTTCAAAATATGGGATCAATTCAGAAATCCCACCGTAATGATTACCTCAGCTATCTCCTTCCCTCTGCAAAACAAATGGTAAAACTTAATAAAAGGTGCAATAACTATCTGCTTGCTTTTGATATGTTAAAAGCACGCAATGATTAGACCAATTGAAGTTTATTTTGAATGAATGCCGTGAATTTTTTTTTTTTTAAAATTACAATTTTAGTTTGTTTTTAAATTTAAGTTAGAAGAAGCAAGTTAGAAGAAGGACATCTACTTTATTCCGATATATTCTCTGAAATTCTACCCTATAAATTTTTTCCCTATGCCAATCTAGCGTAACGACTAGTTTATGACGGAATGATGACAGAACACAGCAATCGCTTCAGTCAAGTCAACGTGTTGCGAGCTTGCAAACAGACAGTAAGGCTCAAACTCACAGTAAAACAAAAAATAAAGCCGGTGATTGCCGCAAAGCGACAATGCTCATCCACTGGCGACCTTAAAATGAGATAGTCAGCTCAGTTATCTATTGAACTGTTTATAGAAAATATGGTACATTGGCATAGAATAGAATGGAATTTAGGTGGATTAGATTAGAGCATAACGTCATAAAGTAAATTGATTTAGGGTAGATTGCCATTTAATCAAACGAGAACATTATTTAACATAGAGGAAAAGCAGAGCGTCGCATCTTTTGCAATAAAACACAACAATAAACAAAATATCAATAAAAAAAAGTTGAAAGAAAATCTTAGTTTATCAACACTTAACTCATCAGAAGTTCATTTTTAGTTAACTCAGAAGAAGTGCAGTAGAAATTCAGTAAAATTAGTTAACTCAGTTGAAGTTCTATCAACACTTAACTCGTAGTCTATCAACACAAACTTTGCCTCAGTAGAAGTTGATTTTAGACAAAAATGCCAGGCATTTGAACGTAAGATTAAGAAGCCCATCTCCATTTATCAATCAGCTCACAAAACATTGGTTGTATTCAGCAATCAGCAAGCTATTTAAGCAAGGAAACTTGAATAGCTTGAGTGATTCCAAATAGTAAATCTGTTTCCAAATTTTCAACTTTGACGAGGCAAGCTATTCATGCAAGCTATATAGCTTTATAATTTTAACACAGTGGTGAAACTGAACTTCGCAAACACTTGCGAGAACACGATCAAAAAGCAGCTCTATGAAAGTAAATCATTAAGTTTAAAAAGTAAACCTCGAATTAGCAAAAACACGGCAACGGGTCGGATTTGAATCTGCAACCTTCTGCAACCAAGTGATTTTGCCTCTCGCGCACAAACCACTCAGCCACGCAAGCTTAACAACCGACAAACACTGGTCACTTATAAAACAGTTATATATGCCAATAAATTGCCAATGGGATTCACCGCCTAATACAAATAGACTCAATTTGCCAGTAATATTTTGAAATACAACAAACTGAAGGCATCCACTCTAACTTTGCATATAACAAATTGCAGAGCATAAAGCTACTTTGAATAATTTAAGCTTTTCAAAAAAAATTTTTTGATATATATTCAGTTCGAAAATTTCGAAATTGAGTTTTCATTTTTGTTAAGTCGTTTTATATATATCACTTTGTTCAGCTTAGTTGGTGAATTAAAATTGCATCAACTGCATTAACTTTTTACTATTCGAATGCCAAAGCACATGTTATGAAAAAGCTGTTTATGTGCCTTAAAAGTGGCATCAATCTTTGCGACTCATGTTGGAAAAAAAGAAAGTTCGTACTAATATACTCGCATCGCAAGAGTAATTACTTGAATGATTTTATCAGAAGATTTAAAAATTGGTTCAAGCTGAAATACCTTTAAAATTTTTTTAAAAGTTTATATTATTTCATACCTTAGACCCATTTGCAAAATTGATTTTTTTGAGCAGGTCAATCTAACGATGAATCTCTTGAAATAATTTAATTTTTTTCATAGTGAATCGATTTGCTTTTGCATGAAGTTAAAGCTTTCATCGGCAAGCAAGTAGCCTAAGAAAATCACTCGAGTGATGAAACTTGGAAATTTAGAGACAGTACATGGATCGATTCGCAAACAAGAACTGTTTTTTTTAGCAAAAAATTAAAGCGATGAACTGCAAAATCTTTTAAGGTTATCTCCTTGCGTGATTAAGCTCGCAAAGGTTTTGAAACACTTAATCGCGTGAATCGGCTCGCAATTGTTTTCGGGTAGATTAATTTCAAAATAATTCATATCTTATGGCATAGCTAAGCAGTTCACAAAAAAATTAAGTCTTTCGATGCAATTAAGTCTTTCGAGTTTTTTTAAAGCTAAGTATTGAAGCAATGAAATAAATCGACCTCCCTCTAGAGCGAATCGGTTCGCTAAAAATAAGTTTTGAAGGCAAATCAATCACTCGCTGAAATTTTAAATTATTTCAAGTTACCTCAATGAGCGAAGTACTTCGGGATAAGTAATCAATTCATGAAACTTTACAATCTTCCATGTAATCAAGCCATTTAAGCAATAAAATTTTCATCGATTCAAGCGATCTTTTAAAGCGATGACACTTCACAATATTTCAAAGTTCTTTGGTAAGTAAGATTGTATCGCAAAAAAAGTTTGTTGTTCAAGTGGCCTATGAAAACAACTTCAATTGCATACATGCTGAAAAAAATTGGCCTGGGATTCGAACCCTAGAACTTGGGGTGTAACGGCGACCACGTTACCTCTAGGCCCAGTGAAAAAGCACTCGAAGCTTTCAAGCTTCAATAACATAACATGTGATAAAAACAAAAAAGATTTGTATGAAAAGTTATTACCAGAAAAAAATCTAGTTCCCGATGACAAGAAACTTGCTTTTGCAAGTGTAATAAGTTGCAAGATTTGAAACTGATGGAATTAATTAAAACGCGCAATCTGCCAATTTCAAACAAACTTTGAGTTTTCCTGTGGTCTTAAGACGTAAATGTTGTCAGCAAAAACGGTCTATAACAAGAAGCAAGAAATTGGAACAGAATTTGAAAAAAAAAGAGCAATGACCTGTAATAAGGAGCAAAAACTTTGGACAGAAAACATTCATTATTCTAATTGATGTATAGCACCAAAGTCAATTTTTCATATGGAATTTGTGTCTCAAAATTGTCTGAAACATTGAAACTGTATGCAATTATCTATCAAAAACGAAACAAGCAGTTTTTAATTAACTTCGTCTGTCCCAACGTTACGCAACTTAACTCTCTAAATTTCATAAGTTTTTTGCATGCAAAAACCCCAGTTTTTGGCTCCGAAATCAATAAAAATAACTTAAGGAGTGCTGCACAAAACAGTACAGAAAATGGAAACACTCACATTGCAAAATTCAATTGCCTTTGAACGATTATTAGTTTATGTCGTGAACTACATTCTAAGTTTCAAGTATACAATTGTGGTTTTTTTTCAGTTTCAGTTCCATTTCAGATGGGTTTGTACAGCAGTGTTGTGACATATTTCTGTTGGAATCTGTGGGTAGCTGACAAAACCATCACTCCGTCCTTGATTGAGAGAGCGTACAGGTGGTTCAACATGACATGATTGGGCTCAGGTAGTAAGGAGGGTTCACACTGCACTGATATGTCTTTGTTCAAAATGACCTGCAGCAGTTGAGGTGGGAGGGAGGGAGGTGCGTTGGGGATTCCGAGGTCGAACGCGTGTTTCGAAGGGATCACCTGACCGTACTCGCCCGGCGGACTGGAACTGAGCTGGTCTTTACTGTCTAACTCAAGAGCTGAAACGAAGTTATAACAAAACACTTGATTTCATAATTAGGAAAAAATTTACCAGAACAGATGATTTTAATGATTATGCTTTCATTAATCTAGATTGTTCGACAGATCCTCAGAAAAAATCCTTCAGCCTAACTCTCATGTTGCTATCTGTTTCACCTTGCAATCAAATTGACTGAAAATTAGGCATGGGTCTTGAGATCACGCTAATTGCATAAAATTTCTCAATAGAGCTTCTCAATGAAAAAATTAAGTTAGGAAATGGGTCAAATTATGGGGTAATTGTAAGACTTTACCTTGGAACACGTCGAAGTCTGACTTCTTTACATCTACCACATTATTCAGAGTGCCCTGATCATTGGGCACTGTCGGTGCATTCGGGTCATTTCTCCACTCCCCATCCACATAATACTTGAACTCGTGGTGACCTGAAATAAACCATTAGATGTGAGCAATAATTCACATAGGATTAACATACGAGGCTCAAAATACTGCCGATTTTGGCCAACTTGGTTAAAAACTAATTAGCAACATGTTTCTGACTAGTTCATCTAAGTTACTCTTTTTTTTATAATTCAATTTTCGAAGACAACTGTAGTTATTTCGACTAATTTAAGAGCTTTCTAAGCATTCACCTTCCTCACCCCACGTGTAAAAAAAATGAAACAATTTTTTTTGAAAAAGGGAAAACGCCATGGACTGCGATGGGAACTTTCTGTGCCACTTTTGAAGCACCCGGCTAAAATCGAATTTCAGAAAAGCGTCAAGATAGGATTCGAACTCTCGCGGTATTTATACGATCGCCAGAACGGCTCTTTTTTTCTTTTTCACCACGTCACAACTTCTCATTATTGTAAAGGTAATCAACTTTGTAAAAATGTGAATACGAATGGAAGGTAAAATCTGAGATTAAAGGTTTGTATTGTACTTTTTAGCCGATATTTCAACTTTATACAAAAAGGTGAAGCGGAGTTTTGCATCACTTGGAATACCACGCAAGCTAGCAAATAGGAAATTACAAAATAGAAAGCAAAAAAAATGGGGAAAATGAAACTTTTTAGGGAATTAAAAACAATTCCAGAAAGCTGACAATACTCAGGTAGACGCCCATTGAGCCGAAAACAAAAAAACGCCAAAAGAAATCATTGTCATAAAAATTTTTCGAGCAATTATGTTTTAACACTTGGAACTTTTGAAACACAAACTACTTAATTTTTTTCCTTAAAATCAATCATTAAAATCCCTTAAAGCAACACACAAATAAAGGCAGCTAAGCAAAAAAAAGATAATCGGAAAACCTTCAGGCCGAATAAAGCGTTCAAGTGCAAAAAAAAACAAGAGAAAGAAAATAAACCAAGTCAGGGCTATTGAATCAAAAACACTTGCATCTGTGATGAAAATTGCTAACCGCACAGAAAAATTTCACAACGCTGCAACTAAACCAACAAAAACATGAGCAGACAACGAAAGCCCGACAATTAATTTTTCTTGAAAACTTTTCTTTTTTCAATTTCATACATACTGAAAAAAAAAGTTGGGTCAGGGACTCGAACCCCAAAACTTAGGGTGTAAAGGCAACCATGAGACCTCTATGCCAAGAGGGAAAACACTTGACCATTGTTAAGGTTCAGTAATATAGCAAGTTGGAAAAGACAGTAAGATTTTTAAGAAAAGTTGTTTACGGGCAAAAAAAACTGGCAGATCCTCATTTCAAGATCCTTGCTTTTGTATGTTTAGAAATTCTTAAATTATACTTTTGCGGGATGAAAAAACTCATTTGCAATTAGGAAAGCTTGAGCGAATGAACTTTGTAGTCAGCGAAAGTTAATTGTGGTCAGAAAACAAATTTCAGACATGATGACAACACTACAACGTCTAATTTCCCATAACTGTAGTTTCGCATAGAAGTCTTAATTCACTTTTTTACTTGTCTAGTTTGCTATTTGTCTTATTTCCTAGGCCCTTATGCTTCTGTTTATTCAACACTTTAAACAAATACCCTCGGGCAAATCTATTATGCCGACAAAATCATCTGTGCTCTTGTTCAAGGGAATCTTTTTTGACCAGTTGTTGAAACTACCCACGATGTCCACGCTTCTTCCACCCTGTGTCCATCGAAACACAATCGGGAGAGCATCACTCGAAAACTCGGGACACAAATCGTCCCCTTGATTAACTGCAACACTAAAAACAGACCTAATAATGGAACGCAAAGCAGTTTTCGGCAGAATAACATCCAGTCCAAACTTATCTCATCAAAATTTCATTGGCATACTTCGACCACAATGGTGCTATTGAATCTCAAAAAAATGTTTTACCAATGCAGCTTGTTTGATTTTGTTAACTTCAGTTTTACCGACTTAACTTTTTCGCATTATTTACCGCGACCGGATCTTAAAATTCAAATTTTATTTATTTTGTTTACCAGTATCGGTAGAATACAGAAGTTCAAAAACATCAGAAATTGCCGGAGGTCGATTCACTAAAAGTTATAATCTATATAAATCTGAATATTTTCTTCGAGGACAGACCAATAGTTCAAACGTCTTGCTTCTGCTACCTAATGGTGCTATTTAAATGGACTTGTGTGAAAAAAAAAACATACCTTCGGGATGGCGATTCTGCCCCTGACTCATCCAAATATGACCTCAATTGCATTTCAAATGCCAACTGATTGGCAGGCTCAAATGGACCTGCCAAAGCCTCCAGTCGATCGCGTTTGGACGAGCTATTTCCCATCTTGAGAAAATTCAATGCAGATTTAACAGAAACAGATAAACCTAGCTTCACATACAAATCTTTAAAAATAGAAAAAAAATCAGAAGAAAAAAGATGCATCTCACTCCTTGTCTAGTAAGGTAGGCAACACAATTGTTAATTTGAAGGAATTTTTTATTTAACAAAAGATTCACACGTTTTCGCAACTATGTGCATTGCCAGGATTTTTTCAATAAAGTAATCTAAGTGACGATACAGGTGGCCAGTCAATAAGCAGAATGGTCTAAGAGCAGAATGGCTCCAAAAGCAGAAAAATATCAAATTTTATAAGCTTATGAAAAACTAAGTATAAAAATTGTCAATGTTACCAATGAAGAAATAGTTTATGCTTAATAATTTAACCGACTTTTTTTTTGAAAATAGTCTTAAAAAAATTGATAAAAAAATTCAGTTCATGCATATTTTATTCATTTTCTTGGTACTACCGACAATTAGAGAGAGAGAGAGAGAGAGAGAGAGAGAGAGAGAGAGAGAGAGAGAATGACTTGAATTACCCGTCAGGGAATTACAATTAATATTAAAACTGCACGGAAAAAATAAAAGATCTGCAATGTGAACAAGGACATTTTAAGAAATATGTACAAGAATAATTACAACTAAAAACAGTAGATACACGGCGTAATAAAAATTTCTTGAGTTCACGTTTAGGTGAGGAAATAATGCCCAAAAAGTTTATATCTGAGTTACATAAAATAAAGTTTGCATTGTTTACAGTTCTATAAAAACAAGAAGTGCGAGAGTAAAATTTTTAAAAGGATGTAATTGAAAAACCATTCTACTAACTGAGCGCAAACCCGGACGCGTACTAGCCACCGTAACATAATCGGAAATATCAAATTCATAAAACCCCTGGAGCAGTTTGCTAAATAGAATAAGATCAGATAAAAAAAGCTCGTAACAAATAGATAAGGAACCCACGCTAATAAGACTATCGCAATAATCCCAGCGACCAAACACCCATTTAAAAGCTCTTTTCTGTAAGGCTTCCATCTTGTGTAAATCAGAAATAGCAGGATACCAAATTGACGAGTTGTATAATAGGATACTCTTTACACAGGCCACGTAGATGTTGAACTTAGTTTTAACAGGGGCACTAAAAGGTACATTACGCTTGAAAAAAATAGGCTGCAGTTACAATTAGCAAGTTTGTTGTTAAGATGAGTAGACCAAGAAAGATTCTTTGAAAAATAAACACCCAAATCTTTGATAGTTGAAACTTTATCAATTGACAGTACGTCTAGATATAAATTTACATTATTTTCAAAATACTGAAATGCTTTGTTTTACTGGGGTGCAAATGTGGATAATTATCATTCATCCAATTAAAAAAATTATTTACATCGAATTGAAGAAGATCTGCATATTTACATAATAGTTTACAGTCATCTGCAAACAGAAAACAACTAGAGTGAGCTATACAATTGGGTAAATCATTAATATAAATCAAGAAAAGTAAGGGCCCTAAGACACTACCTTGGGGAACCCCACTAATAATAGGCGCAGAGGCAGACAAGCTCCTGTTAATCTTAACCTGTTGAGTGCCACAGTCAAGATACGAACTAATAATAGCTAAAAAGTTATCATCAAAACCAATACGTTGTAATTTAGATAATAATGTTTTGTGACAAACTGTATCGAAAGCTTTTTGTACGTCGAAATAAATAGCATGCATATCGTCATTGGCATCAAAACCTCTGTATAATTGATCAACATATTGCAAAAGTTGAATAGTGGTACCTTTACCAGATTTAAACCCAAATTGTTTACCTGACAGAAAAGGGCGAACACGTTCAAAAATGTGATTAAATAAAATTCGTTCAAAGATAATTGAAATGCGCGGGAGCATACTAAAACCCCGATAATTTTCGACGTTCTTTTCACATCCACTTTTAAATAACGGAATGATAAAAGCACACTTCCACAGTTGTGGCCACACACAATGCATAAAAATAAAGCTAAAAAGGTAATAAACAGGATAGGCAAGAAAACTGGAACAATTTTAAAAAATAAATCGAGGAATATAATCGGCGGCAATACTAGCAGAGTCCTTCATATCATGTTAATGCTTTTCCACGTCGTCGACAGTAAAATTAACATCTTCAAGTAAAATATTAGGTGTGACAGACTGATCAAAATTCACAGAATCACTACCGTACTTGTACACGCTGCCCAAAAAATCGTTGAAAAGATTGGCCTTGTCATAATCGGTTGTTGCAGAAGCATTGTCATGGTAAACATTGCCAGGAATAGTAGACGAACCAGACATTGATTTTACAAATTTGAAACAGTCATTAGTATTGAAATTGCTAAAATTTGAAAATAAAAAAAAAACATTTATCTAATTCGATTGAGTCTTGTAATTAAAGTTGGAGGGCTAACAGTTTACTAGAAGTACCATGTCGTCGTTTTTCAGTATTTACCTTGTTTGAAATATGTACAGTGTGAGAGCTGAAATAAAAAGGCATGTCAATTCTTTTATCACGCTTTTGTTTAATGGACACATGCAAAGCAGAATGTATTACAATGTACCATTCTTCATAGAACCCTTGTGCAGAATACCTAAAAACATTTTCATACAAATTATCGAAATTTACCATAAAAGTAGAAAAATGATATGCGTTGAAAGAACACCGAGAATACACTGGAATATCCTTTTTGCTAGTGTCAGCAGGAATTGTGAGACTGGCACTGACAGGGCAATGGTCAGAAATCAGAATATTGTTATTTACCTGAACAGAAAAAAAATCAGGGTTATTAGTGAGAAAAAGATCAAGAATGTTGCCATTAACATGAGTACTGAAATCCACTAGTTGAAAGCAATTATTATCGTCAACAATATCAAGAAATTGACGAGAATAATCAGAAGTCGATCGCGTTTGGACGAGCTATTTCCCATCTTGAGAAAATTCAATGCAGATTTAACAGAAACAGATAAACCTAGCTTCACATACAAATCTTTAAAAATAGAAAAAAATCAGAAGAAGTAAGATGCATCTCACTCCTTGTCCAGTAAGGTAGGCAACACAATTGTTAATTTGAAGGAATTTTCATTTAAAAAAAGATTCAAACGTTTTCGCAACTATGTGCATTGCCAGGATTTTTACAATAAAGTAATATAAGTGACGATACAGGTGGCCAGTCAATAAGCAGAATGGTCTAAGAGCAGAATGGCTCCAAAAGCAGAAAAATATCAAATTTTATAAGCTTATGAAAAACTAAGTATATAAATTGTCAATGTTACCAATGAAGAAATAGTTTATGCTTAATAATTTAACCGAATTTTTTTTTTTGAAAATACAGTCTTAAAAAAATTGATAAAAAAATTCAGTTCATGCATATTTTATTCATTTTCTTGGTATTACCGATGATTAGAGAGAGAGAGAGAGAGAGAGAGAGAGAGAGAATGACTTGAATTACCCGTCAGGGAATTACAATTAATATTAAAAGTGCACGGAAAAAAATAAAGTATCTGCAATGTGAACAAGGACATTTTAAGAAATATGTACAAGAATAACTACAACTTAAAACAGTAGATACACGGCATAATAAAAATTTCTTGAGTTCACGTTTATGATAGGAAATATTGCCCAAAAAGTTTATATCTGAGTTACATAAAATAAAATTAGCATTGTTTACAGTTCTATAAAAACAAGAAGTGCGAGAGTAAAATTTTTAAAAGGATGTAATTGAAAAACCATTCTACTAACTGAGCGCAAACTCGGACGCGTAATAGCCACCGTAACATAATCGGAAATATTAAATTCATAAAACCCCTGGAGCAGTTTGCTAAATAGAATAAGATCAGATAAAATAAGCTCGTAACAAATAGATAAGGAACCCACGCTTATAAGACTATCGCGATAATCCCGGCGACCAAACACCCATTTAAAAGCTCTTTTCTGTAAGGCTTCCATCTTGTGTAAATCAGAAATAGCAGGATACCAAATTGACGAGTTGTATAATAGGATACTCTTTACACAGGCCACGTAGATGTTGAACTTAGTTTTAACAGGGGCACTAAAAGGTACATTACGCTTGACAAAAAATAGGCTGCAGTTACAATTAGCAAGTTTGTTGTTAATATGATTAGACCAAGAAAGATTCTTTGAAAAATAAACACCCAAATCGTTGGTAGTTGAAACTTTATCAATTGACAGTACGTCTAGATACAAATTTACATTTTTTTCAAAATACTGAAATGCTTTGTTTTACTGGGGTGCAAATGTGGATAATTATCATTCATCCAATTAAAACTATTATTTACATCGAATTGAAGAAGATCTGCATATTTACATAATAGTTTACAGTCATCTGCAAACAGAAAACAACTAGAGTGAGCTATACAATTGGGTAAATCCTTCATATAAATCAAGAAAAGTGAGGGCCCTAAGACCTTACCTTGGGGAACCCCACTAATAATAGGCGCACAGGCAAACAAGCTCCTGTTAATCTTAACCTGTTGAGTGCCACAGTCAAGATACGAACTAATAATAGCTAAAAAGTTATCATCAAAACCAATACGTTGTAAATTAGATAATAATGTTTTGTGACAAACTGTATCGAAAGCTTTTTGTACGTCGAAATAAATAGCATGCATATCGTCATTGGCATCAAAACCTCTGTATAATTGATCAACATATTGCAAAAGTTGAATAGTGGTACCTCTACCAGATCTAAACCCAAATCGTTTACCTGACAGAAAAGGGCGAACACGTTCAAAAATGTGATTAAAAAAAATTCGTTCAAGGATAATTGAAATGCGCAGGAGCATACTAATAAACCGATAATTTTCGACGTTCTTTTCACATCCACTTTTAAATAACGGAATAATAAAAGCACACTTCCACAGTTGTGGCCACACACAATGCATAAAAATAAAGCTAAAAAGGTAATAAACAGGATAGGCAAGAAAACTGGAACAATTTTAAAGAATAAATGGAGGAATATAATCGGCGGCAATACTAGCAGAGTCCTTCATATCATGTTAATGCTTTTCCACGTCGTCGACAGTAAAATTAACATCTTCAAGTAAAATATTAGGTGTGACAGACTGATCAAAATTCACAGAATCACTACCGTACTTGTACACGCTGCCCAAAAAATCGTTGAAAAGATTGGCCTTGTCATAATCGGTTGTTGCAGAAGCATTGTCATGGTAAACATTGCCAGGAATAGTAGACGAACCAGACATTGATTTTACAAGTTTGAAACAGTCATTAGTATTGAAAGTGCTAAAATTTGAAGAAAAAAAAACACATTTATCTAGTTCGATTGAGTCTTGTAATTAAATTTGGAGGGCTAAAAGCTTACTAGAAGTACCATGTCGTCGTTTTTCAGTATTTACCTTTTTTGAAATATGTACAGTGTGAGAGCTGAAATAAAAAGGCATGTCAATTCTTTTATCACGCTTTTGTTTAATGGACACATGCAAAGCAGAATGTATTACAATGTACCATTCTTCATAGAACCCTTGTGCAGAATACCTAAAAACATTTTCATACAAATTATCGAAATTTACCATAAAAGTAGAAAAATGATATGCGTTGAAAGAACACCGAGAATACACTGGAATATCCTTTTTGCTAGTGTCAGCAGGAATTGTGAGACTGCCACTGACAATGCAATGGTCAGAAATCAGAATACTGTTATTTACCTGAACAGAAAAAAAAATCAGGGTTATTAGTGAGAAAAAGATCAAGAATGTTGCCATTAACATGAGTACTGAAATCCACTAGTTGAAAGCAATTATTATCGTCAACAATATCAAGAAATTGATGAGAATAATCAGAAGTAGCACTGTGAGTGGCCCAACAAATGTCTGGCATGTTGAGGTCGCCACAGACCACAACAAACCCACACGGATAACAAGAAAGGAATTTATTGTAGTAGTTTTTAATACATTCTCGCAGTAAAAAAGTTTCTAGTCTGTAACTAGAATCAGTAGGAGGGTTATAAACATTCAGAATAAGCAACGAAACAGTGGTACTGCACACAGTACACGCACAAGCAAAATCGTAGCCATCCAAAGTTGAATCAATAAATAATAAATTACTGCTGTTACGCTGAAAAATATCTACACCGCCATGAGAGCCATTTACTCTATCATATCTAGAGACCAGCTTGTAATCCCAATTTGGAAGAATTTTTTCATCTAAAATATCCTTGTGAAGCCACGTTTCTGTTAGTCACAAAACTTCAGGTAAGTTAACACAAAGAAACTCGATACAAGAAAATATTTTATCCATACTAATAAGACTGCGAACATTCCAACAACAGATGTCAGTAGTAGCTAGTCAGCTAACTTGAACCAAATTTCCATTTTCATAAACTTTCAAATTACGTATTTTTAACGCGGACTTGTCAATTCCAGATTGTATTAACTCATATCGTCGTTTCAAAAGTTTCTTCTCTAGCTCAATCTCATCTGGAGATAATGATTTATATATGAATACATTTCCTCCATAATCGCGGAGTTTGTAACCTTTTGCAAAGCAAATGCTGGCTAAATAAGGATTACGAAATCGTTCAATAACCATCCGCGGCCGATTCCGCGTTGTTCCGACTTTACCAAGACGGAACACATTTTCAATATTCACATCGGAATACTCACCAAGGTGCTGAAGAATGTTTCTAACCTCGTTTTGGTCATGCTCAAGTCTATGAACACCTTGACTAGCTTCTGGGATACCAGAAAGTCGAATTTTCATCCGCCGGCGCGTATTCACAGTTATATCACTGTTTTATAATGATTATAATAATTGTTTCATCAATTAGCCAGTATTTTTCAATAAAAATTGATGTTTTTCTGTTTTTCTGCTCTTGGACCCATTCTGCTATTAGATCATTCTGCTTTTTGCTCTTGCTCCGACGATAAAACATCAAATTACATATTTTATTTACAACAGTTTACATAAGTTTTGTTTCTAAACCATCATGATAAAAAAAATTAGTCAATCACAGCTGACCTCTAAATAGGAAATTCGACCAGAATGGCGTCCAAAATGCATGGCAAAATCAAAATCTTTTCTGGAGCAGTTTAGGGAGAGAATTGGCTGTTTCATAGAATAAACGGTCTTATTTGATAAACTGAACGACTTGGGAGAGGTCGGTTTTGACTAACGTGTGAATCTTTTAAAATTAGCCTAATTGTTGTGATAAACTTATTAAATAGTTTCAGAGTTTGTTCTGTAACAACCAAACGATTACACATACTCGTGGAATATCTAACCGGATTCCGGACACAGATGTGTGAGTGATCTGGTCATCATACCTTTATCAACAACAAGGCTGATAGTCCCTACCCGACTGGACGAAGGCCACCACTCGCTCCACACGACAAACAAAAGTGGGGGTGAAAGCGAGCATCCCCTACGCACGCTCGAGAACCGACCCCGAGATGGCAATGTGGGAAAATTAATTGTCAGTATGTAGGAGTCGTCAAAAGTTAAGGCGTTCTCTGCGACAACTGCGACAGTTGGTACCACCACCGATGTGGCGGAGCAACGGAGTTAAAAGCTACCGAAGAAACTCTTTTTATCTGTTACAACTGTCAAGCAGGAGCAAATGAACTCTTTCCAGATCCCAACCTCTCTGGTCTAACGCAACTTATGAGTAATTTAGATTTGAAGGCGGCACCCTCCACTAGAAAGTTGAATAGCCTTCTAGAAATCACAAAAGTTGGTAAACGCACCTTGAAACGCTTACCCAAGGGATCTAGATACCAACTTGCAGAGCTTCTCTGTAACATTCGCCCAAATATCACACAGCGACGGAGCGTAGAAAAAGTACCTATCAACGACTGGCAGGCGTCAGTTACCTTAATTCTACTCGTTTTTCACCGTCTCGACCTTGCCAGTTGATTTTCTGGTCTGTTTAGGGCAAAGTAAAAAGTTACCATTTTTAGGCCATCAGTCAAACGCTTTTTGATCAGCTTTCGTTTGCATGCGAACACAACCACATAGCTGAGTCTCGGATCCTCAGACTACGTGATTGTCATTAAAAACACTGCTCGAACAACCTATTTTTATATGTTTTTGTGTGACAGTTTTATATTAAATCCATTGGAGATGGATTGACCCTTTCCTTTTTCTATCTACTCATGCTCTGAAATATTAAATAAGAACGGTGTTTAATTGATCTCTAGGACATTACAGCAGCTGTTATAGTTAGTTTTCACAGTCCCTTCACATATAACAGTCTCTGGGGGACCAAGCCTCCGCTCCCGTGATTTTCTTGAGATAACACTCTTATCTCCTATATTTCGTGTCCCGGGAGGGTTCCGTGGTATTTCTCTTCCCCCCACTGAAGCCTCCGTCTCCACAAGTATCTGTCACTAAGGTCCTTAACGTGTGTTATTGCCACGATAAGAGGCTCCGTGTTTTTCTGTCTCTGATACAACCGTTCTTCACAATTTCTATCGTTGTTCTCATTTTCGTCTTTTTTATTCAAAATGGCCGTCTTTTTTCTATTTCTCAGAAATGTTCTTCTTCCGATCGAAATTTTAAAAATAAAAATTCTAGAACATTCTGACCCTCCGTCGCAACACTTTTCTGTTCATAAGGCCTTTAGTCACTTTTATTTCTGTCGCGGGAAGGTTATGCTGTGTCATCTGGCAGAATGGCACATACTCCCCGGACAAGTCTCCATCAATGTCCCTATTGATCGCACAACACCGGGTTATCGTCAAGTAGGTATCCAGTTTTCTGTAACCAATCTTACAAATCGCATAAGAAAATGAAATTTATCTACTCCACTTCAACTCACTACGTGTTCACAAATGGCATCGTACTACATCTCACTGCCTTTCAACATTTTCACAAAATTTGCACCATGAGGAGTGTCCTAGATAAAATTTCTTTTCTGACTACTTACGTCGTCTTGTTATACAACTTCTTTTCGCCTCTGATTAAAAAGTGGGACGTGGCACGGCCACGCACCCGTTAAAATTAACTTAACTTCACTCACCAAGTATAATCAGTCATTTATGCGGTCCTTTCCATATTAAAACTAAGAAACTCTGTGGCTAGGAAAGTTATTGAGTTACCCACCCTTCTCGAGCGAGTTTACTCAAACTTACCATGTCGGCACACAGTGAATTTGTGTCTTACACAGGTTAAAAACTTCAGTCGTGAATAAATAGGTAAATATACTCACCTATGTTCCTTATATACATACATAGATAGTAGTAACTAAAATCAACAATTTCAACAATTTTAACAATTGCAACAATTTTCAAAGTTTGGTCTGACCAAACTAAATCAAAACAAAAAGTTTCACAAGTTCAATAATCAAAACTTGGTTGATTTGTTCAAGTTTTTACACACAAAGACAATCAAGTTTTTCTCTCCTTCTCCTCTCTCCTTTGGTCATCTTCACTCCATCACTTCTCCATCCTGATGTTCAGCGTCACTGTCTTCCAGAACTTTCTCTAACATGTCCAGAGAGTTGCGGGCCGTGCCCCAACCCTCCTGTTCCAACAGCCTCGGTTTGCAACAAGGTAGCAAGTCCACATTCACCTTCTGCTCCCGGTTCCTGCAAAAGCTGTTGTGAAGACATAGGCTCACGTTTCGTTCTAGGTCAGCTCTTAAGACCTCTTTCTTCTCATCTTCAGTAACACAAGGCGTTCCAGCTACCCGCTTCACCGCTGTGGTGACCGCGTTTCTGTGCGTCAAGAATGCTCGTTTATAGGCTCCTGGTCCTATATCTAGCTGGAAAGATTGATAGGCTTCCGTATTCCTTGACATGTGACGCTTCGCGCGTTCATACATCCAAGATGTCATCACTGCACGGAACCAAGGCATCAATCTTTGCCTTGACCATATTCTTTCAATGGCTTTAGGTATTCTCAGAACCTTGCAGGTGGTTCTGAAAAGATCCAACTCACGACTCATTTTAACGTTGCTCAACTGTTCAGGAGTCGGCACGGCCGTCTCCTGCTCACTTGTGTCCGCGTTAGCCTCTAACCATCTCACTGCTAGCATGGCGCTAACCACCACGATTGACACTTGTTGATTCTGATCGGGCAACCCCGTGGAGTACAACTCCTCCACGTCCCAGACTAGGATCAGATTCCCGCGTTTAGGGTACCACAACGTCTGCGCCAAGCAGTGGCAAGGATACTCCCCATGGGTTCTCACTATGTTCCTTCGGGTCCGATACCCTGAGGCTCCCAGCAACGGTTCCACTTCCATCAGGATTCTATGTAGGTCGTCTTTCTCTTCTATAGTGGGGAATTCAGTAGGTAACGCTCCACTCGCTTTCTGTTTCTCGAACTCACTCACGTTTCCTTCGTTCAGTCTCATGAACTCTTCACCCACAACGTCTTGCAACTCGCCTTCGGATCTCTTCGGGACTGCCCGAAAGATCTTTGCCAACAAGTCATATGACCTCTCTGACATTCTGGCCAACCTCACGCACTTTGGCACAGAGAAAAGTTGGTCCACCAACACTTGTTGCGTCCTCGCATCCATCACCACCATGTGCGTAGGATACTTGCTATTACAATACGGCGCTGAGCTTGAACCCACCATATATTTTGAACCAGTAGGTCTGTGATAGGCTTCACTATCCTTCAGATTCATTTCATTCTCCAGGGCTTCTCGCCAGCCTCCAATCTTTTGTTCTGTCTGTAATGCTCCAGGGAATATTTCCACGCTGAGGGACGTCACTAGCTCATGGGCACGCTCCAAGCGCTCGAGCGATTCTATCGAACTCGTCATGCTGCAAAATCCCAAGGCTGTGATCAGGTTCACGTCCGTCACCCCATGGCAGTCTGCGACCAACTCCATGGCACTCTTATCTGACATGCTCAATCTTCCGTACAATCGTGCCAGTTGTCGATGCTGCTCGCTTAGCGTAATCAGGCAGTGTCCCAGGTTACAAACATGTCCTTCCATCCCACTGTGTTGAGCCAAGCATGTGCCTTGCTTCAACCAATTACTCGATGTACCTTCCTCGGACAGCTCCGTGGACGGGTTGCTCTTCTTCTTCGTCAATCTCATGGCCAGCAGGTGTTGTATCATGGCCAGATCATGTAAACTCGCATCATCATCCCGTTCTAACATGATATCCGCGGTCATGTCCCAGATTAAGCCCGCGTTAGGATGGGGACACCAGGAAGGTTTCATGAGTTCCCACATCACTACTAGACTGGTTTTCAAGGGACCGTCCCAAGAACCACAATCAAAACTCACTTGCCCT